TTTCGCTCAGTGTAGAAAATAAGCATGTTTTCTCAGCGTCCTAAGTTGTGTATCAGTCAAAGTCATACTGTAAAAAAGGTACATCCGATATCAAAGGCACCGACAGCTACTGTCGCTTCTCCTTGATCGGTATTCTCGGCCTGTGGTCTTAGTAACTAAGAAAGACGGATATACTCGTTTCTGTGTAGACTATAGAAGATTAAATCAGATAACAGAAAGACAGCTATCCACTCCCCCGAATAGACGACACACTAAACACTCAGGTACAAAATGGTTTTCCACGCTAGACTTGAAGAGCGGATACTGGCAAGTAGAGGTACATCCTGACGATCGAGACAAAACTGCTTTTTCAACTGGCAGCGGATTATACAGATTCCAGGTTCTCCCGTTTGGTCTCTGTAATGCCCCAGCTACCTTTGAACGTCTAATGGAAATGGTTTTGAAAGGATTAACCTGGAAAACTTGTCTAGTGTATCTGGATGACATAATGATCATGTCAAAAACTTTTGATGAACATCTAACAAATTTGAGTAAAGTATTTGACAGATTAAGAAATGCCAATCTAAAGCTTAATCACAATAAATGTTCACTATTCCAATCGGAAGCTTATTATTTGGGACACATAGTTTCTGCGGAAGGAATCAAAACTGATCCGGAGAAAATTATCGCTATCAAAGATTGGCCTAAACCAAAAGATAAAAGAGAAATTAGACGTTTTCTTGGACTGTGCTCATATTACCGGAAATTCGTCAAAGACTTTGGCCGAATTGCTAAACCCCTTCATCGACTAACTGAAAAACCCAAGAAGCGAAACTGAATGAGTTTTCGTATGTACCAAAGCAAGGGAACTTAATACACTGGGAAACGTATAAAAGTTAATCAGTTTTTGTCGTTTGGTTCATAATAATTAAAACACATACTAAAGTAACAATGACGGACAGAAAATTCTTACTATATTCATTATGACTAGACAGAATCTGCATCTGATCACAGGCATTCTGACTGGTCATTGCTAAGTCTCCATATCTCCATATCATAGGTCTGTCAGAATCCATACCCTGCACGGGGTGCGAACAAAAAGATGAGACCATTGAACATATCCTCTACGATTGCCAATAGCTCTCATTTATTAGAAGATTTATTTTCGACGAGTATTGGCTAACACCGGCCGATATAAGAGAAGCACCTCTTGGTGACGTTGTCAACTACATTAAATCTGTAGGCTGGCTCACGAGCTAGGAGGTGCCTATAATTTTAGGATACACAATGGGCCTAGTGAGGTTTAAGTGCCGTGGATTAACCCACCCTCTACATGTTACATATTCAGAAGTACCTACTGTAGGTAGCTGTAAATGAATTTCGATTGCATCCTGATAGCAGTGACTTGGTTCCTCGAAGTGAGTTTGTCATATATTTTAATTATTGTTTTGTATTATTGTTTATTTACTGTTTTAATTCGAATGGTTTGAAAAACAAAAAAATAACATATTTAAATAAAAGACTAAGAAATTAAACGACGCATAATACGTAGGCGTAAATTATCTTTATAGGTAATACTGATTTAGAAATTAAAAAAAAAAAGATTGACAGCCAGATGCAAGAACGTTCAATAAAATTTACGAATAACACAATGTATTTTTTTTTCATGTAATACAAATTTTAAAACTATCAAATTTCTAATTACTACTTAGTTAAATACAACTACTTAACTATACTGAAATTTTCACAAAACGCTAATAATAATATACCAAACGTTGCTCTACATAAATTGACAGCTATATTTGACGTTAACCCACCTCTAAAACACTGAGAAAACTTCGCAGTTTTTTGTCCACGAATCGCCCATTTAGTTTCGCTTCTTGGGTAGGTATTCTTTGCTTTGGTGGATATCCAATATATCCACAGGATATCAGAAATATCCCGTGGATCTAATATGGATATCCAAATGTCCGTCTATATCCAGAATATAGAAGATATCCTATGGATATCCAGCAAAATATCATATGGATATCCAGCAAAATATCTAATGGGTATCTTCCAGACAATACAAGAAATCCCAGATATATCCACAGAATATATTTTGTGGATATCCAATATATCCAGTGGATCTAATATGGATATCCAAATGTCCGTCTATATCCCAGGATATAGAAGATATTCGGATATTCAGCAAAATATTTTATGGGCATCTTTAGTAGAGGTTCATAAGTAACCAATGATTATTGAATAACGTCGAAAGAAAATGGCAGAGATAAAAAATATTTTCAACACTCTGCCTTTGATTTTGCCCACTAAGGAGAAAGTCGTCCTTATTAGGACTCTTCGGCAATAAATGGAAATTCTAGGCTCCAGTCTCTAATGGAGTCTGATTGCGAAACCAATTTCGATCGAACTCAATTAGGCGGGTTGAGCATGAGTAGATATTCAACGAGCGAAAGTGGTGTCGCCGTCTATACTTAGTAAGCAAAATCAAAAATTATATCTAGTGGATATCCACCATGGTTTGCGTTCGCACCTAAATTTTGATATATTTAGTGGATGTCCAAGGGATATTGAATACACCTTAAAAAAATTAATTTTAAATATCTGCACGGTACTATTAGCCACCATGGCGAGCACAATGGCGTAATTTTTTAATAATTTGCTATATAATTACTATTATTTATGGACATTTGCATGTCTATAAATTACATCTCATGGATATAAAATAGATATCTACCATGGACTGGACATTCAGTGGACATTGGGATGTCCAGTAGATATCCAAAGGATTTGGTGTGCTGTCTGGGTACATTTTAACTAATTTCTTAAAAGCGACTAAAATATTTAGGTGTGCCAAAAAAAATTGTACTTAGGCAAAACAATTCTTGATATTAAGGCGAAATTGATTAAATTTACGACTGGTACAGTTGAACAAATTTTTTAATAATAAAAGCACTTTATTAGTTATAAATTTTACAACCAGATGGCCATCGATGTAGGTCCTTCAGCCAGTACAATTTGTATGGTATGTGTGTGAGAATTTACATGCTATATGTGTAAGATGAGTAGGATTAACTAGAAAACATTTAACTGTATCAAAAAATCACTTTGGAAACTATTCATGAAAATATAGGGAAAATTGAATAAAATTCTAAACTGGTACATTTGAACTACTTTTTTAAAAATGAATAGGAATGTACCACAAAATTTAATAAAATAAAGAATGGTTCATTTGAACTTCTTTCTTTAAAATTACTTAAAAACACTTAAAGTCGAAAAAATGAGAAAATTGAAGACTGGTACATTTTAGAAAATAGATATACCATCACTTTGGCAACTATCCTTGAAAATATTAAGTGAAATTAAAAAAAATTATGATGGTACATTTAAACTATTTTCTTAAAAATAACTGGAAAATATTGATGGCAAAAAAATTACTTAGGATAAATGTCTTTTTAGGACATTTGAACTACTTTTTTAAAATGACTCTCTTAAAAAATTCTTTATAACATTAACCCTTTAGCGCCCAATTATTTTTCTATGTCTATATTATTGGTAAAAGATGCAGTGCTATAGAGGCCAGAGGGGCGACGGCTCCCCCGCCCTTTGCGTTTAGAGCTCTTTTGGCACCCCTTGTTGAGACAGAGGTGCATATACGGGGGTGTAATTGCCCCCAAGAATTTTAAACCTAACTTTTTCTAGTACTAAAAATGTAATATCACAAATAAAGTCTTAAATACTACCACTACCCCATCGCCACTGGGCAAAGGTTTGGGCGCCCCAGAAAAGCTTTGCCCCCTCCGGCCTTTGGTCCACGCTACGTCACTGTCAAGATGGTATTACTAACAAAAAATATTAAAAAAAGTCAGTGCATTTTTATAGTTTACGAAATAATGACTTTTAAAATGACTAGAAAACATCTAAATGGGTCAAAAAATTACATAGGAAACAACAATTCTTGATATTCAGCAAAATTGGTAAAAATTGAAGACGGGTACATTTGAACTACTTTCTTAAAAATGATGAATAAAAACCATTTAAATGCACTGCAAAATCACTTTTGAAACAATTCTCTACAACGTTAAGCGAAATTTATAATAAATCAACTCTTGATAATATTAAGCGAAACAGATTGAATTCTAAACTGGTACATTTGAACAATTTTTTTTTAAACGACTAGAAAGCATTAAGCGAAATTTAATAAAACTACGAATGGTTTGTTAAAACTACATTTTTTTAATGCCTGGAATACATCTAAGTGTGAAAAAATACTTGGAAAACAATTCTTGGTATTAGGCAAAATTGGTTAAATTGCAAGTATATTTGAACTACTTTCTTAAAAATTATTAGAAATATTTAGGGAAGCACAATAAAAATTACTTGGCCAACAATTTATATCAAGGCGAAACTGATCAAATTTACAATTGGTACACATTTGAACTATTTTTTAAAAATTACTAGAATACATTTGGATGTATCACAAAATCATTTGTCAAACAATTCATGATTATTATAAAAGAAATTGAATTAAATTACTTTCTTAAAAATGACTAAAAAAAATTTCTACAAAAAATACTTGATGTTAAGGCGAAATTGATATTCTAGTCTGCTATATTTGGACTATCTCAAAAATGACTAGAAAGTAATTGCACGTATCACAAAATCACTTCAGATATAATTCTTGATAATATTAAGTGAAATTAAATAGAATTAATTTGATCTACTTTCTTTAAAATTACTAGAAAACATTTAGATGTACCACCAAAGAAACAACCCTTGATAACATAAGCGAAATTTAATGAATTTATGATTGATTCATTTGAACTACTTTCATAGAAATGACTAGAAAACATTTCGAAGAGCCGAAAAAATTACTTAACGAAACAACTATTGATAATAATTAACCAAATTTGTTTAAATTCAGGATTGGTACATTTGAACTACTCTCCCAAAAACGACAGAAAAGTTATTTGTGCCCCTTAAAAGTTCAAGAACGACTAGAAATTAAACACCGACTAGGATATTTAAAACGGTTTAATGCTTCAATTTCAAATAGATACAATAACTTTATACAAGCTTAAAATTTAAATACATCAACATCACATCTATACTTTCTGACACGATAATTACAAGCGCGGCGTGCGAGTTCAAGTCATGGGCGGAGCTTCGCTGAAATACGGCGCCGACGATTTGTCTAATAGCGTGTGACACACGTCGCAGACTTTCGAAGGCCGACTGTGCGGTCCCGACAAAACGGTCCGAGCGAGGCAGTTCTGGCAGAAAATCTGCCCGCAGTGCTTGCAGTGCTGCTTTCGCTTGGACGACGAGAATCCGGTGTGACAGTTAGGGCACTCGTCCACGTCTTCGTCGTGCTGCCATCGCACTTCGTTGTCCGATTCTCTAATTTTTTCTAATTGTATCTGAAAAATGGAGATAATTAGTTATAAAAAATCACATACGTAAAATTGGTTAAGTTCACGATAGATACATTTGAACTACTATGACTAGAAACATTAAGATGTACCACAAAATCACTTTCTATACAATTCTTGATATTAAAAAATTACGAATGATACATTTGAACTACTTAAAAACATTTAGATGTGCCAAAAAATTACTTAAGAAACAGTTGTTAATATTAAAGCAACTTGCAAATTTGAACTACGTTCTTAAAAAAGATCTAGACACCATTAGGAGATACCAAAACATCAGGAAACCATTATTGAGGATAATAAGGGAAACTAGTTAAATTACTGAACGGTATATTTGAACTACTTTATTAAAAATTAATAAAAACCATTTGTCTCAAAAAAAAACAGGTACATTAGAACTACTTTCTGAAAATGACTAATAAATGAATGAATAAAATGATTGGTTAAATATATGAATGATACATTTGAACTAATATCTGGAAAATGAGTAGAAAAAATCAGGAAACAATTCTGGATAAATTTACAACGGGTAAATATAAACTACTCTTAAAAATTACTAGAAAACATATGGTTGTACCAAAAAAGTCACTAAGGAAACAATTCTTGAGAATATTAAGTGAAAATGGTTAAATTTAGGAAGGATACATTTGAACTACTTTCTTAAATCTGAGTAGAAACCATTTACTTGTAAAAAATAAGTTGGGAAACAATTCTAGACAAACTGGTTAAATTTATGAATGGTATATTTAAACTACTTTTAAAAATGACTAGAAAACGTATGGTTGTACCAAAAAGTCACTAAGGAAACAATTATTGAAAATACTAAATAAAACTAGTTAAATTTAGGAATAATACATTTGAACTACTTTCTTTTAAAATGACCAGAAACTATTTATTTGTGTAAAAAAATAAGCCAGGAAACAATTCTTGAGAATATTAAGCAAAACTGGTTAAGGTTACGAAAGGTACATTTGAACTACTCTTTTAAAAATTACTAGAAAACGTATGTACCAAAAAAGTCACTAGGGAAACAATTCTTGAGAATATTAAGTCAAACTGATTAAATTTACAAATAGTACATTTGAACAAAATTTTTTAATATTATTAGAAACAATGTAGATGTGCCAAAAATCAGTTTGGAAACAATTCTGGTCTATGCCCAGACAGCACACCAAATCCTTTGGATATCTACTGAACATCCCAATATCCACTGAATGTCCAGTCCATGGTGGATATCTATTTTATATCCATGAAATGTAATTTATAGACATGCAAATGTCCATAAATTATAGTAATTCCATCAGAAATTAATAAAAAATTATGCCATTATGGCTAATAGTACCATTTAGATATTTCAAATAAGTTTTTTTTTAAATGTATTCAATATCCCATGGATATCCACTAAATATATCAAAGTCTAGGCGCGAACGCAAACCATGGTGGATATCCAGTGGATGAATAATTTATGGATATAATATGTACATAAAATATACAAATTGATTTAATAATTATTAAATTATTTAAATATTACGCCATGTGATAACTAGGAAAGTATGTAGGTATAGTTTATAGAAATTTAAAATTAGTAAGTTGTATTCAATATCTCACATATATCCACTAGATAAATAATATTGGCAATGAACGTGAGCGCAGGCGCGGATATTTCCTGCCCTCACAAGTGCCATCGGCTAGGAATGCGCAAATTTTTTAAAACATCGATGTTGACATCAAATGATACATCGAATACAGACTATCGATATTGTAAAAAAATCGGAAAAGAAAATATAGATTTTTCTAAATATCGATGTTTGTTTTTCCATACATTGATGTTTTCCAAAAGTGTTCATTGAAGAGAAAAAAAAAGGAAAAAAGGAATTCAAACCATCAATTGAAACGTGACGCTTAAAAACCAAAAAACATTGAAAAGAAAATCATCAATGTGAATTGAAAAATCGATGTTAACAAATAACATCGGAATAAAAAACATCGATGTTAAACACCAATAATCGAAACCTAAAAATCGATGGTTTTTTAAACATCGATATTGTGATGTTTATTTATTTTCAAACAACAGTTTATTTATTAATAATTTATTTAAACACTTATTTGTTTTAAACAATACTATTTTAATTTATATATACTTCGAATGTCTTTAAACTGATCACTATTTATATTCACCACTGTCTATCTACTAATTACTATTTATCTTCACTGTCCATATATCAACTGATTTTGATGGCTCTCCTCCACCAATTTATATACAAATTGGTGATCTAGAATGCTCCCCCACCAAAATTGCCAGTATGTACCAAAAACGTTATCACGTTCTAGAAATAGTATCTGGTTGATCCTGGAATGTTCGCGAAACTGCCTCCACCATAGTCGTCCCATAGGTTCGGTCTTAAGGGGTTTAATTATGTATAATAAGCGGACAAGTTGAGCCTCAAATGCCAAATAATACAGAGAGGGACTTGGAGTATTAGAGCATGACTGACTAATGAAATGGCTCACATTACAATATACATCGTGCGCATCTCTACCATCGGCATCGCCCATTTTATAGTTCGTTTGTGTCCTGTGAATACCGTGAATGAGTTTTATTTGATAAGTGTGGATTAAAAGAAAGTAAGTTAGTTTTAAAATCTAAATTTATTAGTGTAAAAGGTTGATAGACTTTAGTTTAATAAGGACCGATTCCACCGTTGTGTTAAACGAAGTTTAAAATGACATTTTTACATTAACAATGTCATTTTAATCTCCGTTTAACACAACGGTGGAATCGCTCCTAAGACAATAGTTAAATTCACGTTAAGATTATTAAGTAGGTTGTATGATACAATTTACGTTAAAATCCGTGTCCTTTGTAGTTTATTCGCTAGAAATTTATGTCGTTTTTACGATACCCCTACCTTCATATAACTACTTATTTCGTGTGATTTAGATATTGTATTCTATTATTGTTGGTGATACGGTTTGGTATTTATTGTTTAATGGTTGTTACAATTAATTAGAAACAGGTTTTTTTTTCACAGGTTGAGGTAATCTTATTACATCTGCCTTGTATTCATAATAGTATGCTTTTCAGTGTTGCCACCAGCCGATGAAGAAATTATCCTGCTGTGCTGCCAAAATTATCGATTTTTCGTGAAAATTATGTTACAATTTTCTTTATTTTGTTGTTTTGGAAAAAACACGTCATGCTTATTTTAATATAATATACAAGCCGTTTCAAAAAAATGGTCATAAATTATACCACATATTCTTGGGTCAATAATAGGTCGATTAAACCGTACTTACCTATATACAAAAGTGCACCCAAAAATAGTTACAGGGTGTATAAGATAAAAATTTAAATGAATTTTTTCAACGTTGCTCTTAAACCGTTTGGCATTTTTTCATGAAATTTTATATGACTTGTTAGAATACCATGACTAATAATAACGAGGAAGAGGCAATATTTTTTTCTTGATTTTTATAGGTTTTTGGAGGGGGTCATCGCTCTTTTCTCCACTCAACTTTTTTGTAGTATAAAATTTAATTACAAATGAAACGCCACTGGAGTGCAACATCCATTTGGAAACTTTTTTGTCTCTTAGTATTTGTTTAGACGATACAGCCATTTGAAATGACAACTTAAAAATATTCAATGGAAATTCTATGTATGAAAAATATCAAAATCAAGTTTATTTTTAAATTACAAACTAATGTAATCAAAATAAAAAAAAATATATATAACAGGTGTTCAAAATTACATTCTCCTCCTGTATACACTTACTACATAGTTTTAACAATAAAAATCGAATTTTAATATTTTTGCTTACGTATAATTTACATTGAATATTTTTAAGATGTCATTTTAAGTGGCTGTATCGTCTAAACACCATTTTTGGGTGCACTTTTGTATATATTTATGTATATTTTATGCTTTTATAAGATCAAAGTTAGAATATGCTTCAGTTGTGTGGAGCCCCTTTTATCAGTATCATATAGATCGAATAGAAGCAATTCAAAGACGATTTTTAAAACTGCTAAGCCTGAAAACTGATGGCATTTATCCTCTAATAGGTACACCTCACTCTGAATTACTACAAAAGCATAACTTTTTCAGTCTCGATAGAAGGCGTGATTATTATAGTGTAGTAGTAACTTATAAAATTATTAAAAGTATTATTGACTGCCCAACCTTATTAGAAAAGTTTAATATTTGCATTCCCAGAATTTCTTCCAGACACCCGAATACTTTTTATATAAATACATCTCGCACAAATGTTCTGGAAAATTCTCCGCTCCATACCATGTGTACAGTAACAAATTCTATTGTCAATGAACTTGATATATTTAGTTGCAATTTGTCAGATATAAAATCTCACTTTTTATCTTAGTTAATTTGTTACCTATTACGAAATACAAGTTCTTTTTATGTGCTTAACATTCATATAAAAAATGTGATCTATTAATAATTATATTCTGTCAATTCTTGCTCTGTAATTGGGTTTATGACCTGTAGAGTATTGTATTATAAATAAATAAATAAATAAATAAATAAATAAATAAATAAATAAATAAATAAATAAATAAATAAATAAATAAATAAATAAATAAATAAATAAATAAATAAATAAATAAATAAATAAATAAATAAATAAATAAATAAATAAATAAATAAATAAATAAATAAATAAATAAATAAATAAATAAATAAATATAGGTAAGTACGGTTTAATCGACCTATTTTTGACCCAAGAATACGTGGTATAATTTATGACCAATCTTTTTGAAACACCCTGTATAATAACACAAAAACTTAAATGTAGACCAAAATTATCGGTATTAAAATGAATATCAACATTTCCATCTTCTTCGTGTTCATATTATGTTTAGCTGGACCAACAGTTTAGATTTTAGATAAATAAGTATAATACGTAAATTGTCGGCACATGAAAATCTTTTTTATTACTAATTTTAGGAAAAAAAAGTTGTTCTTTATAAAAAGTCGAGTATGGTCTAAAACCTAAAATACAACCATCAAATATCAAATTTTATCAGTTGTATAAAGAATAAAGGTACTTTACTCTTGAGTAAAACTCATATTTTTTTACAAACCTCGTATACAACTGAAAAACATTTGATATTTGATGACTGTATTCTAGCTTTTAGATAATGCAGAACTTTTTATGAGGAATAACTTTTTTCCTAAAATTAATAATAAAAAAGTTTTTCATATGATTCCAACTTATGTATACTTATATAGTTGAACAATACTTATCTTTCAAAAAAAAAATTAATAAAGCATTAAATACGACACCCTATAGACATATAATTTTCGATATCTTAAATATATCAAATAATGGATGTACACTGGATATGTTAAACATCTATAGGATATATCCATTTGTTACTGATGAACCTCTACTGAAGGTACCTATTAGATATTTTGCTGGATATCCATAGAATATCTTCTATATCTTGGATATAGACGGACATTTGGATATTCATATTAGAGCCAGTGGAGATCTATGATATCCTGTGGATATATTGGATATCCACAAAAGATATTCTGTGGATATCTCTGGGATTTCGTCTATTGTCTGGGGACTGATGAACCTCTACTGAAGGTACCCATTAGATATTTTGCTGGATATCCATAGGATATCTTCTATATCCTGGACATAGACGGACATTTGGATATCCATATTAGATCCACGGGATATTTATGATATCCTGTGGATATATTGGATATCCACAAAAGATATTCTGTGGATATCTTTGGGATTTGGTGTGTTGTGTGGGTGTTAATTGAAATTAGTTAAATTATAAAATAAAACATTTTAATGACATGAGAGAACAAACTAACCTGTAAACTTTGTGATAATCTAACGAAATCTTGCTGAACGGTTTCCGTGTTATCCAGTTCTTGTTGTAAAGAAGTCACTCGATTTATTAACTCGTTGTTTTGTCTTTCTAACGTTTTCTATAAAAAAAAAATATACGATATGTATTTTAAAAGTGACACAAACAGCAATAATAAATAATGACAACAAAAACAGCACTTACTATTGCTTCAGTTAATTCGTTAATTTTATTAGTCTGTTCCTTCAATTTTTCTTGATTTTGAATTTCCGAATTTGCCAACTTCTCTTGGCTGGAAGAGATTTGCTTCTTCTCTTTCTGTAATTGATCTATCTGTTTCCTGCGAGAAAACTAGTTTATTTAAGATATTACTTAATAGAGAATTCACACATTCAAATTAATTTTGATTCGCTAAAGCTTATTATTACCTAAGTGATCTTATTTCAACTTCCAAATTATCTTCCAATCCTTTTCTTTCATGTTGATCGTTCGTTATTCTATCTTTTAACAGCATAATTTCCGATTGGAGTGTATTCACGTTCTTCTCTTTCGCTTCTTTGCCGATTTTCGTTATTATTAAATCCTGTTGGATCTTCAGGATAAGCTCTTGAAGCTCCTAGAAACAATTTCATCGGGTATCAAGTACCAATGGATAAACCTCAATTGTTTGCTAAATGAAACTAGTTAAATTTTCGAATTGTACATTAGAACTATTTTCTTAAAATAACTAATAAATGAATGAATAAAATGATTGGTTAAATATACGAGTGAAAAATGAGTAGAAACCATTTGTGTAAAAATCAGGAAACAATTCTGGATAAAATTAAGCCAAACAGTTAAATTTATGAATGGTACATTTGAACTTTAAAAATAACCAGAAAACGGATTGTACCAAAAAAGTCACTAAGGAAACAATTTTTAAGTATATTAAGTTAAACTGGTTAAATTTGGAAAGGATACATTTGAACTACTTTCTTAAAACTGAGTAAAAATCATTTACGTGTACAACGTATGGTTGTACCAAAAAAATCTCTAACGAAACAATTATTGAGAATATTAAGTCAAACTAATTTAATTTAGGAAGGATATATTTGAAATATTTTAAAAATGAGTAGAAACCATTTATGTGTAAAAAATGAGTTAAGAACCAATTCTAGACATTAAGATAAAATGGTTAAATTTATGAATGGTACATTTGAAATAATATTAAAAATGACTAGAAAACGTTTGGTTATGCCAAAAAAATAAGTAAAGAATAGACAACATTTAAATATGCCAAAAACAGTTCAGAAACAATTCTAGATAATGTCAAGTCAAACTAGTTAATTTACTAGTGCCTTAAAATAACTAATAAATAAATGAATAAAATGAAAATTAAATCAAATGTGTTAAATTTACGAATGTTACAATTGAACTACTTTTTTATGACTAGAAAACGTTTAGACGTACTAAAAATCACTTATTTGTATGTGGGATTTGATATTAAAAAAAATGAAAATCAATGTACAAACCTCGACGGTATTAGGCAAATCGATTTTTTCGCTTTGTAGTTCTTGAGAATGTGCCGTATATTTACCTACTAACATGTCATTTTCTTGCTGCAATCTAAAACAAAAAGCAAGATTAGTAATTGAAATAAATTTGCGTTAAACAAAAAAGAGTTACTTGACAAGCTCTTGATGCACAGTTTCCCTTTCGTGCGTCAATTTCCCTAAACTCATCTTCATTTCCGAACAAGTTTGATTAAAAAACTGCTTCAGTTCCATCAAATCTTGTTCGGTGCATTCCGTAGTCCTTGTTAATTCAGCTACCTAAAATAAAAACAAGACTAATAAGGAATGACAAGAATATATAAGATAAAAGCTATTGCAACAAGAGTGGATATGATGGCCATATCGCACAAGACAAGGTCCGAGTATAACGCCGTAGGCTGACTGCTCAATCGTCTGAGGGCGATATGAACAATCCACTCGATTTGTATAGTAGGGTGTTTTATTTTTGAGCAACTTTTTTTTTCAACTAAAAAACAGGCTTAAAACTTTCAGCAAGGTGAAAAAAGAAGCCTCTAAAAATTCTAGCTCTTAATATTATCATTTAGTGGTGCATGTTCCTAACTTTCCATTTTCCATCTAAATAACATGGAAACATTTTTTTTCTTTTTTCTTATTTTTGTAGCTTGACATTTGAGCATTGTAAAAATAAAGTGAAACATTATTTTGGTAGGAAATTGAAAAGTTCTAATTTATTTTTTTCATAGAGTGAACCGTTCTGATGATATTCAAACTTAAAGTTGCAAATGTATGAAATTAGGACTTTTATTTTATTAAACTAATTCTATTTTTAATCAGAAAACTGGTTTTTGTGCGCTAATATTTTTAGAAAGCTAAAATAAAAAAAAATACATCTTAGATATTATTTGATTAACTTTTAAACAAAAGTAATTATGAATTAGGTTCAGTAAAATTATTATTTTATAGATTAAAAAAAACTTTTTAACAATTAGCAAACTAAAATTTTGCAACTAATAGATATTTTAATGTCTTATCAGAATTAAATGATGTAACTATATTTGTTGAAGTTTTTTTATTACAATTTGAATATTTTCGTCGGTGCTCCTTTACCACTTGTAATAAATATTAAAATTGTTCCTCATCTTTAGTTAGGCATCTATTATATTCTTCTACTAATTCGACGCCAGGTCCTGCAACGTCATTGACAACTTTCAATTTTTCGAAAAACTCCAAATTCTCTTGATAACTTTCATCTGGCCAAATTAGGACATTTGCATTCAGAAAGTCGTACGGCAAATCAAATTTGTCAAAAAGTTTTAATGATTGTTTTGAAACAAAATCACTCATATTTTTGTTTAAAAATATTTCTGGTGAATTTTTGTCTGCTGTGCGTCGTTATTTTGTTTCTATCTGAAAATAATGATGTTTTCTTGAAAATAATTTTTAAGACATAAAAAAGTCATCAGTTTAATAAAATAAGTCCTAATTTCATACATTTGCAACTTTAAGTTTGAATATCTTCAGAACGGCTCACTCTATGAAAGTTTTTAGCCTGTTTTTTAGTTGAAAAAAAAAAAGTTGCTTAAAGATGATACACCCTATTGTATACAGTATATTTTTTCTACGACCCACTAACGAAAATCTACAAATTTAAAAAATTATTTTAGGTTATTAAGACAAAATAACTCATTTTAAAATAATATATTAATTTTACTAATTTATAAAATAAAAAAAAAAAGATTTAATTTAATTAGTCCCCAGCCCAGATTCGATCCCGGGTTTTTCGCGTCCTCATCTCCACCACCACAAATCTGACGAACCTGGACACGTTGTTGGCCCTGGATCGGACCCGGCCCGGTATATCTAGCACCTTTAGGATTTTAGTTTTAATACTCTTAATTAAATAAGTTTCATATAGTTTGATTAAAATTTAATATTTTTTTCAAATATAGACCATATAAAAATGCTATTACACAAATATGTATATTTAATCTCAATAACTAAAAAATATACTGACAATTAGTTTGACAATATTGTCACTTTTTTAAATTTAAAAAATAATAGTAATTGGCTGTCCAAAATATGAACTGTGATTGGTGGATTTAATTTTTTTTGCAGAGTTCTCACTACCTAGAATGGATATGAAATATATTCGTTCAGTTGAACGCAATTAGCATACTTTTTCGATTTGTAGTATGTGCATAGATTAGCTAATATCTATGAGGGTGTAGAAAAAATGTATCTCCTATTATGAATTGTAATTATTCCAAAATACCTATTCATATTCTATAAAAGAACGTCACCTGTCTTTTGTGCTCCTCCTTTTTCTCGTTCCACTTCTCCTCCATGTCTTTCCTGAACCCAATTTCTTTCAGCAATTCCTCCTTGTGTCTTTCTGCCGCCTTTTCGGCTGAAACCACCTTAGCTTCCAATTCTTTACATAGTTTTTGTTCTCTCACTAGCTGTGCTTCATAATTACTACACATATCACAGATGAAGAGCCTGTGAGACTCGAACGATGTGTTTGTGGCCGCAGTGGCGCTCAAGTTTGCGTGATGCGGTGACGAACCGCTACTGGGTACCTAAAAAAACGAAACATTAAATTAAACACTGTCATACAAATAGCGTTACACAATTTTGGCGCCGAACGTTACTTACGTCGTCCTGGCGATGACTGCACGCTTTGCACCTTTGTAGCTGTTCATCGGTAGCTCTAAGCTTTTCCTTTAGGGCTTTAATTTGGTCATTCAGTGGTTCCACTAATGACCTTAACACTTCTGCGTCTTCTTCAGTCTAAAAAACAAATCAGTCATATAAATTACACTCATAATTTTTCTTCAACGGAGTAATAATGATTAATTAATTACCTTTCTTGAAGGATCTTCAACGCTTTCTTGTGACGAAAACGAATCGGCTCCTAATTTCTTTAAACCTTTGGTTAGAACGTTCAAAACTTGACTAGGCGCTAAACTGCTGTGCTCCTACAACAGAACAATACATTTTTAAATGTTTTAAACACAGCGCGTCGGCGACAGTCTGCACCAAGAAAATCCGAAATTGTAGAAATTTACTACGAAACATTTTCGAAATTATTAAATGAAACTTCTTAAAGCTACGAATGGTACATTCCCAGACAGCACACCAAATCCTTTGGATATCTACTGAACATCCCAATATCCACTGAATGTCCAGTCCATGGTAGATATCTATTTTATGTAATTTATAGACATGCAAATGTCCATAAATAATAGTAATTATATAGCAAATTATTAAAAAATTACGCCATTGTGCTCGCCATTGTGGCCAATAGTACCGTTCAGATATTTAAAATTAATTTTTTTAAGGTGTATTCAATATCCCATGAACATCCACTAAATATATCAAAGTCTAGGCGCGAACGCAAACCATCGTGGATATCCACTAGATGTTATTTGATTCTGCTTACTGAGTATAGATGGCGATACCACTATCGCATTTACTCATGCTCGACCCGCCGTAATTGAGTTCGATCGAAATGTGTGTCCTAATGACTCCATTAGAGACTGGAGTCGAGAATTTTCATTTATTGCTGAAGAGTCCTAATAAGGACGACTTTCTCCTTAGTGGGCAAAATCAAAGGCAGTGTTGAAAATATTTTGAGTGTTGAAAATATTTTTTATCTCTGCTATTTTCTTTCGACGTTATTCAATAATCATTGGTTACTTATGAACCTCTACTAAAGATACCCATAAAATATTTTGCTGAATATCCGAATATCTTCTATATCCTGGGATATAGACGGACATTTGGTTGGATATCCATATTGGATATATTGAATATCCACAAAATATATTCTGTGGATATCTCTGTGATTTCTTGTATTTTCTGGAAGATACCCATTAGATATTTTGCTGAATATCCATTAGGATATCTTCTATATCCTGGATATAGACAGACATTTGGATATCCATATTAGATCCACGGAATATTTCTGATATCCTGTGGATATATTGGATATCCACAAAAGATATTCTGCGGATATCTCTGGGATTTGGTGTGTTGTCTGGGTTTAAACTAATTTGGTAAAATGACCATAAAACATTTAGAACTGTCAGGAAACAAGTCTTGAGAATATTAAGTGAAATTGGTTAAATTTACGAATGGTATATTTGAACTACTCTTTTTAAACAGTAAGAAACATTTAAATGTGTCAAAAATACAGTTAGGAAACAATTCTTGAGAATATTAAGTGAAATGGTTAAATTTATGAAAAGCACATTTGAACTACTCTTTATTTATTAAATACACGGCTCTACAGGCTAAATGCCTAGTTATAGAGCAGGAAAAAAATTGTAATTACAAAAGTAAATATAAATATAACATATTGCACAATAAGACATAATTTGGATATAAGATAAATTACACAACATAACAAAAATTACACAACATAACAAAAATTACACAATATAACAAAAATTACATAATATGACAAAAAAATAAATAAATTAATGACTATACACAAGCAAATAGTACCGACAGCTTTACAATTTTTTGAGCTGCGAAAGCTTACAAGAAAATAAATCAATTCTACCTTGCAGGTTGTTGCAGTTTTCACACATAAAATACAACGGCGAGTTTTTTAATAAATTTGTCCGAGATAGCGGGAGATAAAACATTAAGTTGTTTCGAAATTCAGTTCTTGGCACTTTAAATACAAGTTGTTCTAATAACTCGGAACAATCAATTTGGTAGTTAATAAGTTTATAGAGGAATATTAACGACTGATTTTTTCGTCTACATTCTAAGCTTTGCATTTGAAATCTATTTAGAAGTAACGTGTGATTTATCCCAATTGGTGGATATGTTCCGTCTGTCTTAAATGTCAAGAATTTTAGATATCGTCTTTGAACGTTTTTAAGAGCGCTTATGTGAATATCATAAAATGGTTTCCATATTATTGAAGCATATTCTAATTTTGATTTGACAAACGCATTGTACAACATATTCATGGTTTCGATAGAATTGAGGTCAACTGCATGCCTAATGATAAATCCCAAATTTCTGAATGATGCTTTTACCACGTCATTTAGATGTTCATTAAAAGTAAGTTTTCTATCGAACTTTACCCCAAGATCTATAACAAAATCAGGCCTATTTAATATAACACCATCCAAACAGTAGTGGAAAATCTTTTTTGGTATATGACACTATATTACATTTTTTTGAATTTAATGGAAGATTATTTTTTAAACACCAATTATTTATTTTATTAATATTACTTTGTAATTTAAGACAATCATTTAAGATATCTACCTGATAAAAAATTTTGACATCGTCTGCATAAATTAAATATTTTACGTTAACGTCATTAATGATGCAATTTACGAATAGTATAAATAAAAGCGGTCCCAGAATCGAGCCTTGAGGTACGCCAGAGGTTACTAAGATATCGACAGACTCAAATCCACGCACTTCAACAAAATGGGTTCTGTTTGTCAAGTATGATTGAAAAAAATTTATGACAGGCTTGGACAATCCAAACTTGCTAAGCTTTTGAAGTAATATTCTATGATCGAGTTTGTCGAAAGCCTTAGAAAAATCTGTATATATTACGTCTAGTTGGCAAAATTACATATAATAGTGATGGGTCGATAGTTCTCAATACAATTTTTTTTTACCTTTTTTAAAAACAGGACAGATTCTTGACCTCTTCCATGCATTAGGAAATGTACCAGTACGCAATGACAAATTAAATATTTTATTTAAGGGAATAGCTAACGCATGGGAACAATCGCGAACCATGAAGGATGGTATATTATCAGGTCCCTTAGTAAATTTAGATTTTAACTTTAATATTGCCTTCGACACATCAGATTCTTTAAATTCAGCTATATGTACATGTAAATTATTTGATAAATCACTCTCAAAGTCAACATCAAAATTAGATGAATTACTGTAGGAATTTTTAAAGTAAGTAGCAAATCCATTTACAATATCCTGCATGTTTAAAAGATTTAAATCATCATAAGTCATAAATTCAGGTATTCCACCATCTTTCCGTTTAGAATTTACGTATGACCAAAAGTTCTCACTATTTCTTTTTATATTCTCTTGTAATGTTTTAACGTAGTTTTTATGTGCTTTCTCTACGTCCTTTTTAATTTTGGATCTTAGCCGTTTAAATTCTTCGAAGGCATTTAAATCATTATTGCGCTTAAACTTTTTTCGTGCTTTCTCTTTTTTTTTAATATCTCTAATAATAGGTCCGTTGAACCATGTAGGGTATTTTCTTGCAGTTGGAACATATTTGGGAATACATATATCCATCATACCATGTAGTTGTTCATAAAATAACTTACATGCAGTTTCAATATTATTCACATTATTGAGAAAAGACCAGTCACATGAAGCTATTAGTTGATATAACATCATATAATTAGCTTTACGAAAGTTATACTGTAAATTTTTATTTACTGGATTAGGTTTACTACGAGGATTAGATATTTGAAAATTAATATTCAAAGCAGGATGCGAGACATCTTCAGGAACCATCAAATCATATACCCTTTCAACAGTGCATGATTCATTACAGAAAACTAAGTCCAATAATCGATTGTTTATGTTAAATATATTATTATATTGTTTGAAATCGTGGAGATTTACGAAAGCATTTAATTCAACTAGCTGACCAGTGAGAGGTGCCATATTAGCATACTGGGGAACATTAAAGTCTCCTAAAACAAATACTTTCTCGTAATCAACAAAATTTAAAGTGGAGAGACAATCAAATAAGGCTTCATAATCAACAACTTTAAGACTTGAAGGAATGTAAACAAGTAGTATTAATATTTTGTAATAATTTAATGTAATCGTAGTGCCTCTACTCTTATAAAAATGACTAGAAAACATTTATTTGTACCAAGTTAATAGGAAATTAATTCTTGATAATATTAAGCGGAAACAAATTAGAAAGGTACCTTTGAACTACCTCTTTAAAATAATCATAAAACATTTAATTACCCAATAAATCTCTTAAGTAAACAATTTTTTGAAGATTAAATGAAATTGGTTAAATTTACGAATGGTACATTTGAACTCTCCATTTAAACCGAGTTTAAAACATTTAAACGTGGCAAAAACTCAATTAGGGAACAATTCTTAATATTAAATGAAATTGGTTAAATTTGCGAATGATACATTCAAGACATAAAATATTAGATACATCCTATATAAGTAAGTGACTGCAAAAAGGGTGTAAATCCAAAAATGACGTTTTTAAGTTGAGAAAAACATTTAAATGAGGCGAAAACTCAGTTAAGAACAGAGCTGGGCACGAGTACTGAATAAAATACTCGTAAATTGTACGAGTACTCAGAAATTGTATTTATAAGTATTTTATTCGTAAGTACTTGTATAGAGATAGTTTACGGATACGAGTAGTAATCGTGAAAATACGAGAAAAGAGTACGAGTAGTTTCACAAAATTAGCCTAATAAATAAACTATAGAAAAAACAAATAAAAACCACTATAATTTTTAAATAAAAATAGTCTTTATTTACCTAAACAAAAACAATTCTAAAATAAATAAAATACAAAACTTTGTTTAGAATATAAATAAAACAAACATGGTCAACTTGACAGTGAACAATTAAATACAGTTTTTTAAAACTGGTAACTTTGTAAAAACTCATATTTTTGTTTCCATACTTTATAGTTATCGGTTAAACCAAATCAATATTATTTCGAATACACCTTCATACGCTGAAACACAAAGATGGGGTTTCTGTTATTTTAATTTTTTTTAAGTGTTTGTAATCGTCCCCATGTGTTTTTGTTTTAAATTAAATTTTGACTGCACCCGAAGATGGAAACAAAGTTTTTCGAAACATATGTAGTGCTGTGCTTACGATAAAAAATTAAATTAATGACCTAATAAACCAAGCAACTTTTTATTTATATAAAATTTTGCTACGTCAGGAAATGATCCTTATTCAAATTAAC